TAGACGGGAACAATCTTGGATGACTCCTTTACGTATACAGGGCTAGCATCAGACAATGAGGGCCCCATCCTCACCCCTGGTATTAAACACCAGCCAGGGATTGAAGAACATGCAAACGTGACCAGAATGATGGTATTTACAGAACCAGACATTACCCTAAAAGGGAGGTGAGTGTGCGAGCTGGGGCCCCTGGATTAGAAGCCTGGCTCCACCTATGTTATATGTGAATTTTGAGGGCATAGTGGCCTCTGCCTTGTAGGTGGCTCTGAGGATTAAATTCGTTAATGGACATAAAGTGCACAAAAGAGTGAAAACAGTATGTGAGGGTTAATTCTACATGTCCACTTGACTGGGCTACTATGGTGCCCAGCTGTCTGGTCACACACCAGTCTCGTGGCTGTTGGGATTGGAGTTCTATGTGAGTATATCAATTGCCTTAAGTAAACAGACAGCCTTGCAGGTGGTGATTGGGCCTCATCCCACCCAGTGAAGGTTTCAAGAGCAGAATGGGAGGTCCCCAGGGTGCATTCTGCCTCCGGACGTAAAATAGACATCCTACCAGAACCCCTTCACTCTTCATTCTTTGAATTTCCTGACTTATGAATTTGGGGACGTAAGACTGCAGGAAACTCCTGTCTGTAGCCAGCCTGCAGATTCTGAGTGGCAAATTGTATCAACCAATTCTTCAAAAATAATCTCTCCCTTTCCTTTTAGACGCAAGGGTATGTCAAAAAGTGGCACTACAAAATCGTAGATACCTTTGTTAACCAAAAATTTCAAAATGTGAAGCTATTGTTTATCAACATCTCCTCTAGCTAGGTCTCTGCTCTTCTGAAGGTAACAGTTCCATCTTCTAACCCTGACCCCCAAAGAATTCTATGCCCTCCAATGGACAACACATCAAAATAACGGAGTTGGCATTCTCAAGGGACTCAAATGGTGTTCCTTTTCAGTGTTCCTTGGGTGTTGGCAACAAAAGGAAGTCTGAAGGGGTTAAGTCAGGGCTGTAGGATAGATGGGGTCAGGCTTGCCAACTCACAGG